TATATCTGATCGATATGCCGATACGGGCCGTATTGATATATGAGTGTGAGACGTGGTCGGTAACTAAGGGAGATGAGGAAAAGTTGAACGCATTTGATAGAAGAGTGCCGCGCAGAATTTATGACCCTCTAATTGACAACGGAGAATATAGAAGGCGAACAAATCTGGAAATTTATCAAATACTTCGTAAACCTATTATTAGTGCTTACTTAGCAATTAAAAGATTAGAATGGGCTGGACACATCTGGAGGACTGAAGGCATAGTAAATAGAATTTTTGTTTGGGAACCGAACGAAAAGAGGCCGTGGGGTCGACCGAGGTAAAAATGGGAAGATAGGGTGAAAACAGCTATTACTGGAATATCACAAGGAACAAGAAATGAATACAGCGAAGACAGAGATAAATAGAACAGAGTGGTTGAAGCGGCGAAGGTCCTCCGCGGGCTGTAAAAGCTTGAAAAGGAAAATGTGTTATAACGATTTATGTTGATCTATCGATAGTTCGAACATGATTTGAATCGTAAATAAGTAACATCCACAACGTTGAAACGAATTTGGGAAGCTAAATGTACGCGATCCATTAATCGAAATAATATGATCCTGATAGGAATTCACCGTATGTATTCCAAGTCGCGGTAGATGAATGTATATATTTTATAGTTTATGTTATTGATGTTATCTCCGAGAAAAATTGTATGTTTTCATCACTAATAGGAGTTGGTTACAAATGTGAAAAATCAAAACGGAATGCATAGGTGCATTTTACACATATGAGAATCGTGCGCAATACGCATTCCGTGTATTTCTAGTTCAATGGCGCAATCGTAATAGTGAAATATATGTCCGTCCGGAATAGTAACGTACGGACTCGTAACCTAACCGCCTGTACGGCCTGATAATGAAACCGCGTGTTCTCTAGATAGTTAAACTATTACTTGTGTATCGATTACCGCAGCAGTGAAAATGTTTATTTTGCTAGTATTCGGTGTACCTACTTGTATACTATCAGTAGTTTTTATATAGGTACGCTTGTTCAACTAACGACACCTTATAAGAGCGACTTGTATTTTGACTGCTGCAAACGAACGCAATGCAATGCAGTTAAGCGTGCAATATTGGACAATAAGACGTTTACGGGTGTAGAGAAAATAATAATGTAAACAACAATAATACACCCCCCTCTGGTCTCCGAAATATAATAATAATAATATATTATAATATTCGCAGGCAAAAGTGTTCGCATTACATTGCGTTTATTGAACATAACACCCGCGATAGTGTTTGTATACATTCGAACGTATAGAACATATAAATATCAAACGACGGCGTTTCCTCCGTCGTTCAAAGAGTGTTTTTCGGATACAACAGAAAAAATAAAATACATAAAGCGCACTGTTTACAAGACTTTGCAATACGGTCGGCCGTATATATATATATTTTTCTTTTTGTCAAAACGGCCATAGTAAAAATTAAGAAATATTTACGCACAATGGGATACCTACACTTCAAAAGAAACTGTAAATCATTTTTATAATGCGCGGGCCGTCGTCGTCGTCGTTAAACTCCGGACCGGAGAGAGAGAGAGAGAGAAAGAGAGAGACACAGTGACAGAGCAAGACAGTGAGAAACGCTTTTTTCGAAGCCGAACCATTGATGATTTATGATTTTTTTTTTTTTTCCCCGGAGTAGATATTCTGTATTATACAATATTATAAGTAATGTGTATCTGTTGAGTGCGAAAAGAAAAAAAAATTACACAGAATAAAACATTCGGCGTTGTTATAATAATATAGACGTCGAAACGATTGAACGCTCGCTGCGGCGGCTCTTTTGTGTATACGCGTTGAAAAATACGATATTTTCTCACTCCTTTGGCTCATTCACGGCTGTCCCGCGAAACACTTTTGATTGTCCCATCTCGCGCCGTCGAGATGAAATTATATCAAAACTACGTCTTTCATCTCACGTTCGAGAAATCATAAAATATCACGAGATATAAAAAAAAAAAAAAATCGAATATCACGACGTTACATTTTCTACATATGCCCCGTCGAAAAACACCTAGTTTCCGACCTCTCATCTATGTATAGGACCGTTGCAGAGGGCGAATGTAGGTTCCACACATGTGATATAGCAGACAAAAATCACCCGTGGGTATACATAGTGCATGCATAAATTCCGACACTAATAAAATACACCTATATAACATGTAAATTCCTACATGAATAAAAATTATAACCAACACGAATTTCCTTCCCATTTTATTCAAACTTAGAACTAATAATTAAGTCTCAAACCCAGGGAGTAACAACGTGTAGACAAATTTCGTTTTCATTTTTTTTCGTTTAGTGTCTTCTTGTGCTAAGACGTATACATTTTGTTCGTGTTACACGTTTTTCAAAACGTTTACGGAAACGTTTTTACTCCCTGCTCGAAACTATCACTAACCTTTGGACTAGTGGGGAATGTACACATTTTCACTAATTATCCACTACATACTAAGTCACTAAATAATCGCGAAATAATTTTTTTTACTTTTTTCTGGTTTTTCAAATAATTTCAAAATTCAGATATTTTTCGAATATTTTGAAAACCATATCACATTTAAAGAATGAGAATAATGTATTCTTTAAAAATGTCAAGTCTGTAGTAGGGACTGGAACCTTTAACAATTTAAGCGTTTCGGTTCTCAAAAATATAGAATTTCGGTTTCGGTCTTAAAAAAAAATTTTTAAGGGTTCCGGTCTTGTGATTTTTAAAAATTTCGGTCTGGCTCTGTGTATTTTCTTTTATTCAACGTCCCGTTAATAATTATTTCCATTGGGACGGAGCTCTTTTTTTGTAAATAATAATTTATTTAAAAAAATGTGTACTATTAACTGAATTTTGCAAATATCGTTTTTCGATTTTTATAACATGATATTAAATTCTAAATTTATTATCGTTCAATCTTAAATGAGTTTTCATCATTATTTTTTTGTACTGAAATTTTACCCTGATAATAGAATATGCAATTATGCAATTTAACAAAAATCTAAACACCATCATTTTTTTTTTTTTTTTTATGAAAATAAAAAATTAAAAAAATGCCCTTATAAATAATAAATATTTATTGTTGTTGTATAAACACGACTAATTTTAATTACAGTAAGCCTAATTACTAATTGAAATTGGAATGTTGTGCAGTAACGAGACGAGGGCTGTTCGATTTCCATAAAGTTTGAAGAACGGCAGTTGGGATTGTCGATTGATTTGTAAAATTCCGAGTCAATTTTAATATATTTCGAACCGTTTTCTGTACCAATTTTACTGTGTTCATATTTGTTTTATCGTACTTTTAAAACGTTTCTCTTTTCTCTAAGAGTATTTTAGTGGCTTATTGAGACGTTTGCGGCAGTAAACCGCTTTTTCAAGATGAAAGGACAGTGTTGTAACTATGTAATTATATCTCGTCCAGTGCTCGTTATCGCGGTCGGTTTAAATGCAGTGCACTGTTATCCAGATTAAACAGACCTCACGCTCGGACATCCAGTTATCGTTATCGTGGACAGTTTTGTTTGCGCGTAAAGCGACTATAGAGTTATGCCGTATAAATCCTGAGAATCAATCATTAATGTGTGTAGTACTCGTTCTCGCGGTCACTAAAAGAGCGGATTGATTTAGTTCCTTTACAACGGGTATCGGTGTTTAGCCGTTTGAAAGGATTGGAAACCGAAAATATCTGTCGCACACTTCCAGCCTTTTCGTCGCGTATACAATAAAAAAAAAAGGAAAAGTCCGCTTTAACAAGAAACAGTACTCGTTGTCGTGGTCATTTAGTTAAGGGATCGAAATCGAGAGTGGGCAATCGGTGTTAGAACGTCGCGACGTACAAGGATACGCCGTATTCCCTTGACCGTGCGGTTAGTACAAAACCGATTACCGAAGGTTTTGAAACACTCGTACCGTATACCGTAACGCACGCGACACTGTACATAATACTATTAATGATATCAATACATACCTATACATAAAATAAATAAATAAAAAGCGTAGTCTGCAAGAGTATTAGTATTAGTTTTATAATTTTTTTGGAAATTTCATGGCAATTACCGAATTACGTTTTAAAAGTAATGATGTAGAGGATGTGGGAGCTGAACCCCCCCCGGGTTACGCTGAGTTCAATAATTGCAAGGGACGCTATTTCTGTTATTTTTTTAAGGCCGTCAGAGCCACCGTATATTTTGTACAAAAACATGCCTCGCGGTAAATACTCTCGTTAAATAATTCGATTTTATGGTGTTTTTTTTTTTTTTTTTTTTTTTTTTTTTTTTTTTGAGTTTTTAGAGTTGGTATTTAACTCAGATTCGCACAATTCTAATTCCCATAAACTGTATTAAGCGTCTGAAAAATGCAATTTTCAAACCTTTGTTTTTTTTTCACGATATTTTACATACAGACATCGAAAATCGGAGTTCAAAAGTTTCGTTCTTTCGGATAAAAAATAAAAACGCTTAAATCGGAGCGTTTTACGTGAGAGTTTTTCCCGTCCAATCGTTTTTAAAACGAGTATTGGGCAATATAGATTAGTGGGAAAAGTATCTTAAATCTTCCCCTCCTGCGCACGCCGCTGACGGTAATCATTAAAATTATTAAAATAATTCACAAATTTTACAAAATCGGAGACGTTCGGAAAACAGGCTCCGACGGCCTTAAATCTCGTAATACAGTAGTCCCTCGTCTCTTTTTTAACTGTCCGATTCGAGCACGGCGCACGCATTATAATTCGATCGGAGCGATTTGAATCGTCCGCTATTCGAATTTACGGTGTCTTCAGAAAATACTCGCTGAAAATATTTCGCGGATATAGATAAAGACAAACCGACAAACCATTTCCGTGCCCGTATCGCCCGTCGAATATCGGTAAAAATCCCGTATATTGTATTACGGGACCGTGAATATTTCTGAATATTTCACCGTTGCGTCGACTATAGTACTGCTATAGTCGGCGATCAATCACGTGTCACGGATCGTCTGAAAACGGCGCGTATTTCTAACGGAGCAACACGTGAAAAGAACTGCAAATTTGCGCATAAATATATATATTTTTATTTTCCTTTCGGTGCCGGCGTTTTTATTATGGTTTTTTTTTTTTTTTTTTTTTACTATTATTATTATTTATACGCGTCGTCAATAAGTTAACAGATCGATGACATCTCGCGCGCAATTGACCCGTCTGTCACGCGAGACTCTCGACCCGCGCAGTAATATATATACAATATATGTTAGACAGGGTGTGTATCTGCATATTACTGTTATTATTATTATTATTGTTATTGTGACGGACCGCGGGGTGCCCCCCACTAGACGCGGCGGAGAGGATAACATTATTATATCCGTTATAAATAATAATAATGACCGTATATCGACGAGAGCCGGGGGTCTTTTCAATTCCGGGGCGAAAAGAGCGTGTCAAAAAAGTGACGAATTGGGGACCCGCCGGCCGCTAGGAAGCCGACGACGAGCCACGCGCACACTCGCATTGTTCCTTTGACTCGACGATTTTTTTTTTTTTTTTTCGGCATTTGTATTATTGCACGGCCGTCGTCGCCGACGCGCATTATAGTTTCGTCTTATTTCGTATACGTAATATAAAATTTTTTTTTATATTTTCCCCGTCGGATTCCGCCGTATTGTAACGGTATATATTGTACGGGCACGGGTGTCCGGCGCCCCGATTCATCGGCGGAAATCAACCGTAAAAACGGCAAAGGGACGGTACTATTATACTTGATATTATACCGTTGAAACGATACCTCGCGGACGGCAGTGACGTGAATAAAAATGTGCGCGTTTCGTATAAAATTATTTTATAGATTGTGAACCAAGCGACGAATGGATCGATTATGCCGAGACATGTTTTTTTTTTTTTTTTTTTTTTTGTAACTGTAAACAGTTTTTCTATAAGAAATCTTGTTCCGATCAAAAAAACTTTGTACGAACAATTTTCTTGTATAGCATTTACGGTCTAGTCGGTGCGTTACAGGAGGTAAATTCATTCGATTTTCCTTGCGAGTATTGTCAATAAATGACAAAAACCGGCAATTTCTCGTGCAATTTCCGTTTGGATACCTATTGGCAACAAGAGAAGAAAAAATAATACCGCTCGGCTCGGGATCGTATTTCGTTAGCATGATGGACTATCGCTGCATATCCATAGGATTTTAACTAACGCGTACAAAAATTTTCCGCTGAAACAGTGAGCACACCCGTTACCGGCCTTGTTTTCGTGTTATCGTTTTACTTAGATACTGGGTGTAGCGAAAAACCCCGAAAAACCGCTAAATTGTATAGTACAGTGTTATGCTAATAAGAAATTTGCTTTCGTGGCAAACACTTTTTATGTTATCAAAAAACCTTCGGAATTTCACTTTTATCACAACGTGTAAAATATTATGTAGGATTTTATAGGTACACGTCCTGTTAAATTAATCAACAAACCTTTCGTATTTCGGTGCATTTGTTCTCTCGACATTTATTGAACTGTTCACAATACAATACAATACGATAGGCACGCTTAAAACAATAATACATATTATAAAATAATACCTAGCTGAATGTACAATTCATAATTTTCATATAACTGTTACAATTACTACGCTATATCGTCATTGCACACTACACCAATGTACAAAATAACAAAACAAGTTAGTTTGTAAAACTCGATGCAGGATCGGGTAACACAACCGCGCGACGGCGTCTAGCGCGGGTTCCTAACAATACAATAATAATAAAATGGTCAATGGTTCCATAATATTAAATTACAATGTCTACGCGTACATACATATAGGAAATTAATGTAAATTATTTATATATATATATATATATAAATATTTTCTTAAAATATAATCTAAAAATATATATTATTTTTTTTAATATAGTATAAATATAGGCGCCTATAATAATATAAATATCTATGTAAGTGTTATATTGCAAAAAGTACCTACCTAATGACTATATAAGTAAAAAAAAAAATGATATAATTATAGACTAAATAATAATAGTAATTATATTGATTGTTTATCGTGCAAACGCAATTCATAGATAGTTTAACGACGGGATAGTGTTTACGCGATTAAAATATAACATTAATATAACTATAGTAGTTGATTACACACAATAATAGTGATATTATTCTTTTACAATAATGGAGTACGTGTTATAACGAATAAAATAATAACTAATCAAAAACACGCACACACGAGCGCGCACACGTCGTAATATAATTGAGTTACATAGAGGCGGTCTTTTAACAATTTTACGATCATATGTTATAGCTACGGTCATTTCAGAAAAATAGCGATAATAATAAATTGCACGCATTTGTAAGGAATATAATATTACTCGGGCCGTCAAAATGTCAACGTATCGAATCCACACAATTTACGTGTGAAATCTACGTGTAAAAAAAAGTGTACACTTTGTATTAAAACGGACAAAGCTAATGTGTTCCGTATATTCCTATTGAAATTCGGTGCCAATAAATTGATATATAAAGTTTCAATGAGAAAATAAAAAAATGTAATTTAATGTTGCCACATTTTGAACAATTCAATGATAATGCTTAAGTTTTTGTACTGCGGCGGTGTCATTTTTTTAAATTTTTTTTCGGTCAATTTTGAATTGAATTATTTGGCTTATCGAAATATATTCGAGTAACATAGTATACAATACAATGGAGATATTTTGATGACTCCAGCGGACAATTCTAGAGTATTTGCATATAGATAATAAAATAACGAACAGCATAGGGATGGCAATATTTGAAATTTCCAAAGGTCCTGTTGGGTATTTACATCTAACCGGTTATAAATGGTATACCGAATTAGTGCTATTCGGTCAGACAGCTTTTGAAGATCGATTGACCGAGTTCAATCTTGACCGGTTTTGGTTTTGACCGAATTTAACAGATTTTGATTGTTTCGGTTTCAACCAAATTATCCGATTTTGGTCTTAATCAAATTAAACCGATTTAAATTTTGACATAATTCAACCGATTTCGATCAGTTTGATTAAAACTGACATCATATTTAAGTTTTAGTAGTGGAAGAGAGTATACAATTTTTAATTAAGTAAAATGTATTTTGGTTTTAAACTAATACATATAATCATACATTTTTTGACCGAATTAAGTAAATTGGCTGATTTAATCGTTTTGACTGATTTCACCGAAATGACCGAATTCGGCCAAGACCAAGTTAAACCAATGACGGTCAAACTGGTCAGAACCAGTTTGGTTGACTGGTTAATAAAAAAAAACCGGGCTGACCGAATATTCAGTATAAACGGAAATTACCGGTATCATCGGTATTACAACAATTACCGTATCATCCGTATTTACCTGCAATTCTATGGTATTTGCGGCAATTAAAAGTTTAAAAAGAGTAAATTCCGCACCATGGCTGGATCACTCGGGTAAAAAGATAGGAAGGTAGTCATAGGTAACGTGGATTAAGTTTGATTATTTTTAGTAAAAATCGTTACTAGCAAAATACAAATTCTGAGTGAAGTTCGGTTCATTAAACATTACATTTCTACTTTTTTTTTTCAATTTTTTTCATATAATAACTAAAATTCCGAAAAAAAATGTCAATCAAAGTATCACCGAATGGAAAATCCGTATTTTTTTAAGTTATTTTCTGAAAAATTTGAATAAATTGATTGATTTACTATCAAAAAAGTGTTTTTTGAGAAAAAACATATTTTCGTAAAACTCTAATAGTTCCTTCGCTCTATCTTAAACTAACCTGTTGTCCATACCAGTTCACACCACGTGTCATATTAATTAGTAAAAAGTGGTAAGCTCAATTTATTTCAAAATATAAGAATCAAGGTATTAGATTTCATAAGTTAGATAAACTGTTACCTGATAACAAGTGACCGATGATACAGTAATTATCATGATACCGATGATACGGTACTGCCGGTGATACTAACTATCGATATTTTTTCAGTATACCGAAAATATCACCAGCCCTAGGACGGTATATATTTAAGATAAACTTTATCGTAATCAATTTATTTGTTGAAAACTTTAAATAAAAACATGTTTGATATATATTGTCATATGTTATCATTGGTAATACAGTTTAAAAATCAAAACAAATAAATATCAAATCGATTTAATATATAAGAATAAGAATACTATACATGTATAAAATAACAACATAAACTTTTTTGGACCATAATATAAAAAATGTCTATCTCATATAAAACCGATGTTCTCTCTTCCTAAAAAAAATACCACAGTTCCCCTATGAACTCTGTGTAATAGACACAAACTAAAAACTAGTTAACGTGATACTAATAGGCTTATCCTGTCCGTTATTTCATTATATCTATAGAATTGTGCAGTGGTGTGCCTAGGAGTTGGCAATGAGAGGAGATGTAGCAAGCAAATAAGAATCGTGAACAATTCATTAAATTATCTTTTCTACACAACTCGACTATAGAAATTGGTAATTTAAAAGTCGGATACTAAAAATAGTAAATTTCTAATCAATCTGCAATCTTATTCTCTTCTCGTAACTTGACTGAAATATATTTCGATTATTAAAATACTTGTATTTTTTTTTTTTTTTTTTAAGCCAAACGGGGAACATAACCCTAACCTCTCACCCCCTCCAATGTGCACGCCATTGAAATTGTGTACATTTTTACTTAAGTGATACACATTTTGTGCAGCCGAACGCCGTCGCCTCTATGTTACTCGATGACACTACATAATATACACGCATATACACACTCGTAAAATCATGCACGTCTAATAATATTTAATAGTTGAATCTTCTCTTAACGGCTAAATTCTATTCGGTAACTACAACGTCGGGCCTTGGTTCCTGTAAGCGCGGGGTACTTTGTCGTCTTGGTAGTCTCTGATACGGTCGTTGTATCTTTCGATTTGTTCCTGTAACATTCTGTTCTCGATCTAAAACCACAAATATAAAAAATAAATTTAAACACCCGAAGACTTGTACTTATAAGATTATGATTATGGTATTATGTACTTATATAAAATTTGAAATTTCTCTAACTATTTAATTTAATAGGGAATTATCATATTCTGTCACGGTTTAAGTATAATAGTAGTGGCGTGGTGAACTCAGCGTATGTGCAACGCAAATATTTTGATGCACCACCCACCTACGACCTCACCCACCCAAACCACTTTACTCAACAGCTAAAAAATAATCAC